GTGTGTGTGTGTGTGACCCTTGAAGTCACAGGGATCCTTTTGGAGTGTTCTGCCTGGCTTTTTACCTTGTTTGTTGGCAGGGGGACACACCATTTCACTGGGACTGTGTCCGACGAAGCTACCAGTGAAATGGGATATTCAGCTTGGCCAGCTGGACGTAATGCACTCTGCAGACAAGAGCGACCGCCGTCACTTCGACCTGTTCGTCGCTTCGTGGCTTTGGAACTTTGGCCTTTAACTAAAAGCGCTCAGGCCCCCTCACCTGGTTTTTTCAGGGTTTGGTTTCTTAGGCTGGCATGTGGCACCGCTGTCCAGTCAGTACGCATAATCATAAGTGTGCGTGTGTGAGTCCAGGCTTAAATTCGCAAACCATGAATAGCTTTAAAACGCTTCACAAAGGGCAAGAGCCAGGCAAAGAATCACTTTTGCGCCAAAGAAAAAGGCTCCCCATGATGTCTCATCTTCTTCTCCCATGAGACTCCCCATGGCTCCTCACAGCGAAAAGCACTAAGCCCCCTGGAGAAGAAGCCCTTGAGCTCCGCCACTGAGCAGCCATCCTGACTGGGTGACCTGTGAAAATGGCAAAGCGATCCACCCTGACTCGTTCGCTCTCTCTCTCTCTCTGTCTGTCTTTCGAAGAACATGGGACCCATGTGCATTCCCACCATGATACTCACTTTGATACGTGAAAGAAGTCCGGTTGAGCTCAATGTTGATCGCCCTTGAGCCTTACAACTGTGAGTCTGTTGTTCTCCTCCTTGTAGCAAATACGGTTTGAGTTTGAGCGGGGCGGGCTTGGACAGAGATGGATGATTGATTTCTTTCGAAAGTGTTGTCAGAAGGATGTTTTTTTCCGGGGCAGACATGGCAACCATGGGACGACCGCCAAGTGGTCAAATTAACATGAGGCGACTGCCAAGTCAGAACTCACACCTTGGGATGATACGCTTTCTCTTTGCACTCACCATGGATGGGGCGAGCAAACATGAGGAAACAACTCCTTGCTATACCAACACCATGTAGAGCTGCAGGCCTTGAGCAAAGGTCTTGTAGATAGTGGAAAAAGGTGTGTTTGACCTGCTACATGAACGGCGAACTTGACCTCAAAAAGCTCACTGCCTCAGCTGAAGTACGCAGGTGAAGTGCGCAGGTGAACGTTGGTCTGGAGACCGGATCCGAAAAAGAGATTGTCCCAAAGCGCTCTGCGATCGCACAGCGACCGTAGAGGTGTTGACTACTGTGCTCCAACACAGCAGGACAGCAGGGGCACTGTCCAAGAGCTGGGGAGTGGCAGGCGGGCCACAAACTGGGGTCAACTTGGCCGTTATTGGTCAATTGGCTTACAGTACGTTCCCGTATAGTTTCTATCGGGATGTGGGGAAGGCTGTGGTCACTGCTGTGGCTGTCTCTATAGTATGGCAGCAGCATTTCTATTCAAAGGAGTGGTTCAAGGTGTCTGTGCGTTCTTCCAGTGATCTCAATGTTCGGCAACCTAGAGTTTCCATCAGAGATGGTAAGCTTTGTTTAAGACCTTTAAGGATTCCTGCACCAAATACACAGCAGGCACGCAGTTTCATCATGAAACCAACCCAAAAGTTGGGCCAACTCAAAACCTGGAGCTAGAGGTGTCTTCATGACCCTTATTGAATAAGGCTTATTGGAAGTTTCATCATGCCACACATCTGTGAAATGTTCCGGCCTCAGCAAGGACAGCATCAAAGCGCCACCTTTTGTCAGAGAAATCACGCACGCTAGGCTGCTGCAAATGCCCAAGAGGAACAGAAGCATCTTTGTCTCCTGCTGAAGAAGATTCAGAAAACCAGACTCCAAAGCACTGTCTGTGTCACATGCTAGATGTGTTTTTTTCGTGCAAAGACATGCGAGAAATCAAGGCTTTACGGACCCATCGACTTGATCTTTCAAGCTGCATGGTCTCCAACCTATTTACTAGCAGTGGCCTCCAACCTACTAGAGAGGGCCTCCAACATCAAAATGCAGGGAAGGAAGAACTTTGACAAGTCTGAACACCTCTGCGCGACCGTCCTGATAGGTACCAGGCCAAACCTCCGATAAACGCGGCGGCCTCTTTCCTTGTGCTGCAAAGCAGGTCATGAGGAAAGCACACGGTCTATGAATACTATGAATCCTGACCATAGAGCTCAAATACTCCCTTGACTTTGTACACTTCATGCTATCAGAACTTAGCACAAAATCGAAGAGAAATAGTGTTCATCCAAGTTGCTTTCACCCTGCATGTGTTCAGGACTAGAGCACTTGGCAGAGCCGCACAGTATCAGGCAAAAGGCCATCATAGACCTGAGCGTGGCGACCCTCTGCAGGTTGTTTGGCATCGAAAGAGTTGTTCGAACATGACATGATCATCATGGCAAACAAGCAGCCAAAGAATCAGCATCAAAGAAACCTGTCCAGGAAAAGAGTTTCACAGGAAGTTTGTGAAACAGTTCATGTTAGCATCACCAAAGAAGTAAGTTTGACCTTCCTGTCACAGTTCATCACATAACAAAACAAGTCAGGCTATTGATATTGCCGTGTCAATGTCATCATTGTTCCGGCTGCACATTCCACGAAGGATTCTGCCTGAAAGCGTCTGTCGACAAGCCTGACACATGCAGGAAGCACGTTGGTCCCAGACTGTGAAGACAAAATTTTGTGTTGATGAAGCTGCCACTGTTGTTCCATGTTCCAAGTACGGAAACCTTTTCGCTTCAGGAACATCTTGAATCTTTCAAGGACAGTAGCTAGCAACACTTGGCAAAGGTAGCTGCTCCACCACCAAAATACTACTGTTTCCTTGATTGTTTTGAGCAAATTGTCTATAAACTACAGTAAAGCTTGCATAGCAACGTGACTCGCAGCCAGCAGCATCCTCATGTTGTGCCGAGCAGCATGCAGGATAGTGGTATGAGAAGCCAGAAACCCACAGCACTAGCCCCCAGAGCATGTCTGGTCATCGGCCTCGAGAACCAACAAAAAACGAAACTCATCGGTTGGAAGCATATCAAATTCTTCCTTTCAATCTGTGAACAATAATAGGTGGAGCCATCGCTATCAGGTGGAGGCCATCGCTACTAGTAACAAGAATGTTAACAATCATGATTTCCACAGGTGTCCAGAAGTGAACTATCCTGATAGTCACAAACCACCTGCAATTCACACCGTCTGTGGCACTTCACACTGGTACAGCCTCTGCGTGAGAGTCACAAGGCGATCCTTGCTGGAAGAAACATGGCAGAGGAAGCAAAAGATTCCATCTGGCATTGGAAGGTGATACACCAATAGCATCTTCGTCTTCCGAATGTGATGAATGTCTCTCACCGAGGTTTGTCAGAGTTTACGTATCACCACGTGTGCAATCTGTTAGTAACTCTTAGTAGCTTCCCCAGAATCTCATGATACTTGCCGCTATGTATCATCGAAGCCAGCATGTGAATCTCGCTGCAAAGATCTCCTCGGCTAGCGAAGAATGAGGTACGAAAAGTATATGTCTGAGCCCTCAAACTCATATGTTAGCATCATAAACTGTGATAGATCCTCATGGTCTAAGACAGTGTCACACTGGGAAAGGCTTCACTGTTGCGAAGCATCAAAATCCATCAGACTTGCTCCTATCATTGCCTTGATCGCTCCCCATGTTCCAGTCCAACCAAAAACAAAATGAAGTATATAGTGGGAACCAGTCAAGGCGAAAAAGTTCCTGCATAAAGTTGTTGCACGCTGCGGCTGAAACTTTAGAAGCTCTCTAGATGAAGTAATGTCTTAGCATGAACTGCCTAAAGAAAGGCTGAATAATGGATGGATGTGTTGTTGTCTAGTCTATGGAGAGCATCGCAGTCTCTCTCTTCCAAAGGGCTTTTGATCTACGCCAACCACAAAGTCTTACTTGTAAAACTGCGGCAAGGTGCGAGCTCGAGGATGCTATCCTGGAAAACACGTACGTTTTGATGCAAACCTAAAGGCTCTAGATTTGACTTGCTCTGTGGAGAAAAGGCTCCTCGTTCTCGAGTCCAGGCGTGCACCTCCAAACAAACAGTCCCCCATCCCCAAGAGGGATCTGTGGGAAAAAGAAGAGTTGATCTGTGCGGCAGGTCCTCAACATAGATACAGTAGAGTGAATGCTTGTCAACGGATTGGCTAGAACCCTATCTATTTGGGGTCACCTTACAGCTGTGATTTGCCTTGCAGCTGTCGAGAGAGGGATGCAATCATGGCACCACCATGCGACACGCGGGGTCAGGGTCTTTCCCGGTGAAATCGCTCTCAAGTGCTTCGCACCGCAAAGTCTCCAAGCTGTCTGTCTCCCCTAGGCACTGGAGTTCTCACTATGGATCAAGGCTTGCGGGGGGGTGGGGGATCAGGAGTTTTCAGCTGACAGCATCTCCGCATGAGCCCTGTTTTTTTGGGAGGATGCCATGCTCTCAAGCTCTGCCAAGTCTTTAACTTCCTCATACAGCAACCACAATTCTCTTGAGCCCCACGGCTCTTTGTGCATGACACTTTGCCTAAGCACAGGAGGAGGGTAGCATCAGACTCTTGTTACGCACGCACGTCAAGAAACGAAAAACATCCTTTTTTAAGGCTCCAGCATTGAAGTTGAAGACATGCATCCCTTCACTGCCTCTTGACATTGGAATTTTGCAGGCTCGTTTGCCAAAGGTTGTGCTATGATGTCGCTTCCTGATCAATCTCCCTGGTCTCCACACAGGAGTGTGGCTTTGCGAATTCTATTAACCATACATGCGATACGCAATACTTTTGATTTGGATGTATATACTGCACTTACATTCCGGGCCAAACAAGGTTCTTTACTTGCTGGATGTAAGAATGCCACAGGCAGCTGAAAAGCCGTCGCCAACCTCCTGTTCGGTCTTGAACGTACCTGGCCAAGACCTGTCTTCCGAGCAACGCTGTCAACACCTGTGTCTTCTCTGATTGAAATTGACCACTCGAATGGGCAATCCTTCTTCCCTTCTTCTTTTCAGTCTGGCTTGGTCAGCTTTTACACAAACGGTTCAATGTCAAGGGACACACACAAAACATCAAGGTATATAATCGAAAACTTATTCTATATATATATGTGTGTAACATATAGTCTATATAGACTCAAAGGCAGCTTTACTTTGTGTGCAAAAGCCATTAACTAAAACCCACTGGGGCAACAAACAAAAACCTATCTGTCCCTGTTTCTGTTCGCCTCATCTGACTCTACAAAGCCTAGGGTCTTGGAGAAAGTATGCATACACGCTCCAAACATCCCTAGCCTCGTCCAAAGGACCCAGCAAAGTGCCCTGGTGGAAGAGCGCCAGTATGCCGGGCATGCTCTACTGCAGAGTGTTCAGTAGTACCCGGTGTCACTCTTCCAGCCAAGGTTTTGGGGAAATTTCCTTGGAAGAGCGATGGCCTCTGACCTAATAGCGATGGCTCCAACCTAAGAGCAATGGCCTCCAACCTAATAGCAATGGCCTCCAACCTAAGAGCGATGACCTCCAACCCAAGCAAAAAGAAGCCAAAGGAAAGAACAGATCGGTTGGGGCCCGAACTCCGAACTCTGGTTACCACAAACCACCCATGGGTCACGCACCTTGGTGATTTCATGGTGTACCGGTCTTGCAGTCCTGGGAGACAGCAATAGATGGAGGTCTGCTCCGGATGAAGAATGCAAATCAACAAGAAAGCCCCTCGAGGACATAGCACAAACATGTCTGAATTGAGGACATGTCTTTAGGTGCTCTCTAGCTGCATCTTCTAGCTGAGGACTCCAACAAAGAGGATTGACAAGGGGTGTCAGGATGACGAAAGGGAAGGCCACGCGGAGCGCCGGCCTAGGAACGGGGCGAACGGGCAACTCTTTAACAAGCAAAGAATCTGCGCTCATAAATCCCTTTCAGGGAACCGTGAGCCCTTTTTGAAAAAAGAGCCTTTGGTTCCAACCACCCAGTCTGGGGGCCCCGTGCCATTCTCAAGCCACCAGCCTCTACCTGCGTCATTCATCAACGCCATCGCTTTTTTGATGCTGAAAATGCAATCCACCTGACCATACACTACTTCTCGTCATGTCCCACTTCGTCACCCTACCAGCGGGTTTTCCCTAAGAATCCAAGCGGCTTTTCCAAAGACGCAGGCTCCACAAGCAGGCTCCACTCAGTCAAGTTCAGTCAAGTGCTTCAAGTTGACAGGAGTTTAATAAGTCAACGTGAGAAGTTTCACTTGTCAAACGGCCTGCAAGGGTGAAGGCCGTTTCAGCTGAGATCTGGCATTCCGAGTGTCGGCATCACTTCATAGCTGGAATCGCGATTCGCACTGTTGCGATCGTATCAAGCCAAAGCAATCAAAAAGGTTGCAGAGTTGCTGATAAAGCCTTGAATTGGCAAGACCTAGCGACGTAGCCCTGCAGCTTCAAAATGGATCCACACTACATACAGTTGAGTTGATAGGAATGATCTTGTCAGCAAAACATACTGTACCAACCAGTCAGTGTACATGTTTGGTCAGTTCCAGATCTCAGAAGCCGACTCTTCCTGGTCGACCTTGTCGTCGCTCCGACCTTTTCACCGGACATCGGGGTTTTTCGTCCCTCAAGTGCCACCCGGCACCCTGTCTCCACCACGCGCACAGCCAGCACCCAGCACCGGCGCCCCCAAAGTGCTCAATTAACTTTGCCTCCAAAACACAAGCACTACAAAGGAACAAACAGACTCTGGCAGTCTATTTTGCACTACCCTGCGCCAAGGATGTGGTCTGAAACAGCTGCCCAGCCACTTCGAATGCCAAAGGGCGAAGCCTGACCAGGGGAGAGGTGGCCAAGTTGCTCATTGAATCGCACAAAATGAAATCAAGGATGCCTGAATAGCACTGCTGAGACTCTGCTAATGCTAAATACTTGAGTTGGCATCATTGACATAGTTTTACCAGTTGCATGTGCATCCGAACAAGAAATGTCCCTTCTATTTGGCGAAGAATCTGAAACTACACATCTGCAAGCAGTCCCCGACCCTTCTTGGATGAGGTCTGTTTTTCCCACGAACAGAATCCATAACCTCCAACACCGAACAAATCCTGAAGTCCCCTCAAGATCACCAAAACCAAAGCCTGAGCCCTCAACAAGCCATCCAGCGCAGGATCGGAGCCTGGCAGGTCCACTGGTTCCACGCTGCACGGGTCAGGAAGGTCAGGATCATTGGATTTGATATGCCATCAAGAGAGACATTTGAATACCTTCAGCCTTCAGCACCGGTCGCAGTTTTCTCACATTTGCCGCACCTCTATCCGCCCATGGCCTCAGATCGGACTTCGGCCGCGCAATTCTGATGCAAAAAGAAATGCAAGTGATCTGAGAAGCCGACAAAGGGTCAGAGTTTGGTTCAGATCGAATCCATGTCTCCACCTTCCACGCTGCATCAACGTCGCTGCTATAGGCATTGCATCAAAAACAACACGTCAACTCTACATTCATAGTTGGTATCAGAAAAATACAAATATATAGAAGGTTCAAAGAGATTCATCCTGGGAAAACCTTCAGACATCCTTGTTCAAATTCCTTCTCACGCTCCAAGCGCGCCACAGAACGGAAGATCCGGCTCGCCATATTGAAGGCGCTTTCTCTGATGGCACCCAAGGACTTGGTGTCATGCCGTTGAGTTTCATGCCGCTGTATTGCACGCGTCACCAACTGTCTGTTTTTGTTTTACTTCACCAAAAACGAAAACACTGCACCCTTCCATCATTTGTTTTTCTTGTATCAAGGAGCAAATGCACAACGTGGACGTGAACCAAGATGTTCAACTATTTTCCCAAACTGTTTTTTTTGGTGCGCAGGTACAAGTCAGTCACCATATGCTGGGAAGTTATCTTTGGGTGACCCCACGCACCGAATCACCGAGGTTCCCAACATATGGATCTGCACGATATTCATGCGTCCTTCTTGAAGGACCGAAGCTGCCCCCTGCAAGGCTCCAATTGAAAAAGGGCTGAATACATGGTAGGTTTTCTATCTCAGAAACCATGAAGTGCAGCTTTGCAAGTCTCTATGGCAACGATGCCTTCCGCATTGAAGGCCATGGCCAAGGATTTTATTGACCGCACTGGCACACGTTAAAAGATTCAAGACTGTCCGACACCCGTGACTTTCCTTGTCTGTGGCGTCACATTCAACCGTGTGCTTCAATGAAACCCAAGTTGTGCAACACTCGTGGAGAAGGGGTTTGATCAAGCGTTGGTTCCAAACTCAAAGAATGTGTCAGGAGTGTAGTTTGTTGAACTGTTGTGGCATTTCTGCACACGACGTAGCTATCTTGCAGCCAAACCCTGCATTGTTACGTCCTTGTCAACGAATCAATTCAAGGTGCAAAACGGTTTGTGTGTATACAAACACAACTGTAGCTGCGATCCCATCAACGCCAACGTTGATCTTACATTTTTCATGTGCGGGCTCACGTGCCAAAAGAATTAACATACATACGTACATACATACATACATGCATCCATGCAGGCAGGCAGGCAGACAGACAGACAGACGGACAGACAGACATACATACATACATACCGTTGCATTATATTGCATCACAGTACCTTGCATTACGTTACGTTACGTTACCTTACGTTACCTTACATTACGTTACATTACATTACCAAACAAACAAACAAACAAACAAACAAACCAACCAACAAACCAACAAACCAACAAACCAACCAACCAACCAACAAACCATACATACATACATACATACATATATACATACATACATATATATATATATAACAATTCGCTCTTCCTGCACGGCCATTTTCCTCCATACACTGAAAGTGCACAGGGTGGAGTGGTTTCCATCTTCAACCAACTTCGACTCCATTCGTCCCCGAGCACCCCAAGTCTTCCTTCAGCAGGAGGATGTACCAAGCTGTAGGCGCTATGCCCATTCGTAGGAAGTATTGGACCTTAGCAAAGACAGAAGGAAAAAGGTGAGCAAAGGTCATCACAAGCTCACGAGAGGAGGAAGGGATTCTCTTCAAATAGAGAAGTGAAGCTGTCTCCTGCACGTAAATTTCCATGATTTTCGACGACAGCCACCTTCCTTTCCGTCTGGTGTACTCACCATCTTCAAGTGCCAGGTGGCACCACCAGATCTGAGACTTCCAGGGTCAAGCGCTTTCAGGTCACCAATTTTCTGGATAGGAAGCTTTAAGGCATTCATGACATCCCGAAGTCTGGTACGAAAAGTCTGTACCGACCAGGGCCAGATACGAGCACTAGGCGCCAAGTTCCCAAAACAAAAATCAACAATCTCGAGAAGGTCGGGTACATTAAGCTTGGCAGCTTGGTGCCTCGCACCAGTCCTCCTTGTTTTAGGTTCCCGGATGGCAAGGAGACCATAACAGATCGTAAAATCAACATCTCTGGGTAAAGGAAGGTCAGCACGATGTGAGGCAAAAAGTTCTCCAGGTCTAAGCAGAGCCCCCCAAGCTAGCGCAAGGGAGCCAGCAAACAAAGTCCACCCCCAGGCTAAACTTACACTAATCACGGCCAAAAGAACTTGCCAGGGCATAGCGACATGGTGTGAACCCGGCTCTGAATGGAGCCAGGAAAACGCAACATCCCAGGCTCCCTGCATCAAACGTCGTACTGCTGGCTTCTTCGTTGTTAGGGAGTTGATCGTCTCCGCAAACTGATTATATGGTTTCCCTGCTTGATAAAGTGCTCTACCAAAACGTGCCATGACAGCGTTTATGTCATCAATGCATTCAACGTGATGAAGCAGCAAAGTTTCAAAATCAATCCCTTCATGCCCAAGCCACTGCTCAAACTGCCTCCAGTAGCGGTCTCGCAAACGCTCAGTGATCGCCAGGGTCGGGCGAGTCTGCAACAACGGCTCTGCAGCGCTTCGTTCCGCAGCTCTAGCTATCTCAGCAGCTGTCGTCGGGACCATGGCTGTGCAGCCTAACGGGCCGCCCCCCCAAAAGCACCCAAGCAAGAAGGAGGGAGGCAAGAGGGAGGCGCGGCAGTATTTGGAGAGAATGCCAGAGGAAGGAGCCACTGAAGCAAAGCAAACGAGCGGCCAGCGCGGCCAGAACTGCAGAGCATGACTTCAGGATTGCAGAGAAGGAGTCTGTATGCCACGCCCCAGAAAGTACAGAACTGCCAGATGGACCTTCTCCTGGATAACCCAATGTGGAATCAAAGGTCTCCTCGATGAAAACAAAATCTGGGCACCGAAAGTCAACAATGGAGGAGCCAAAAAGAATACCACTGTCAGGCATATGTCGTCGAAACTTTGATCGGTCACTCAAATCAATCGCCCCAGCTCCAAGCAGGAAAATCACCAGGCGATCTAATTGGAGGCCCATCTCCTTGTAGGCATGATTGCAGCTAGCTTCCATAGATCGCGCAAATCCATGTCTCTCCAGCCCAGGCCTTTCACAGGAGGTCTCAACGGCTTCTCTCTAGTAGGATCGTCTGCACAGTTCAACCGGATTGGGCAGAAAGGCGTCACCAGGTAGAGGCCAAAAGCGACCATAGTGGATGAAATCCGTCGAAGTACCCCAGAGAGGGCACGAGAAGCTGAGCGGCCCTTGCCAAGAGCGCATCTAGTGACATTGGAATCGACCAAGTTGACAAGCGCGAAGGTCCAGCTTTTGCTCTGTCCTCAATGAGTCTCCCCACTGCTTTGAGTTCCAAGAGGTTGATATGGGATTCTTTCTTGAACTTCCACGACTTCATCACTTCCCAGTCAGAGGTGAGCATCACCTCATTGACAAGCTGGTTCTCGAGGCCAACTGCGGGACTAAAGTCATTGCCACTTCTCCGTGCTTTTATCACTTGGATGGCATGGTTGAACGACCAAGCCAAAGCAGCAGCGAGCTCCGGTGTGTAGATTGCTGAAGCCTTCGTATAAACACCAGCAACGGGAACATGTTTGCAAGTACCCGGGCAGCGCCGAGCAACACTCCTCAAATCCATGTTTGCAACCAGGAGAGCAAATGACTTTCGGTGAATAGAACCATACTGGCATGAGTCTACTCGAACCTCCTCAACACCCGGCCATCTCAATGCTGCTTCATAGCTGGGCAAGAACTTGCTCAAGGCACTAAAAGGCCTCTCCACCAGACCAGCAATTGTATGAAGAGCCGCTTTCTTCAGAATTTGCAACGCCCTCAGAAAAAGCTGATTGCCCAATCTTGTCTTGGATTCCTTTGGGCAAAACCCCAAAGGAAAAAGCCGACTTCTCAATGCTGGCCTGCGCATAATAGAGAATGTGGCGCAAGGTGGTTCAATGGCTATGCCCAACAACCGGCCGGATTCGATGAGATGGTAGATCCAGGAAAGCACATGAACTTTCGAAAGATCAAATTCCTCTGAAAAGGAAATGTCCAGCGGCGGTCCCACAATGACTCCAAGCCTTGACAGAGCTGCACTGATCCTGCTTGATCCTGCGAAAACCTCTATAAACTCGAAACTAAAAGCAAGCGGTCGGGGAACAGTTTTCGGTCTAGTTTCCAATCCCTTTCCAGTGTCAGCAAGATCCTCTGCAGTGGCAGCGTCAGGGAAAGAGTCAGCTGAAGCCAGTCTTGTGTAAGCTCCTTTTGTGCGACAAACCTTGTACAACATATGCACAATGTCTCTGCCCAAAAACGCTGAACATATTGCGCCCCTCTGCTCAGAAGCATCTGTGGCATAAACCATGTCCTCAAATTCAACAGCAATGTCGCTCATCATCAAAGGGGCCAGAACTGCACACAAAGTCAACTTTGTGGCCACTATCCTAGGCAGTGGTATCAAAGCACCCTCGTCAAGATCATCATACTGTTCACTCAACAAGAAAGCCTCATTCAGGAGGTTCATCATAGGCCTCCTGTAAAGAAGCATGGACAAAGAGTTCTCCCTGACCACATCCTTTGAGTCGATGGAAACGCAGAAGAAATCATCAATCACAAGACCTTCGACGCTGGCACATGAAAAACATGGTCGGTTAGCAACCAGGTGAACATCGTCAGAAAGGAGCCCATAAGTCTGCAGCAGGTTGCTGTGCGCATCTGTTGCTATCTTGTTTGGTAGCCCGATCCTTTTGAACCCAGCGCTTCGCGGCGAAGTAAAGATAAGAACAAATACTACACATCTATACATGTCAGTGACCTAACAAAAGTTGACACGCCGCCTCAAAATATGGCGCTCTAGTCATATTTTGCTGTACGCATTCCATGGTTGGATCCCACTTCAGCAAAGTGGTCAAAGGAAAGTCCATCCAACCAAAATCTGTTCTATACATTGAGTATAGCCTGATCCGATGCTTTTGCACGATTTCAACAAAAGTCTTTGTGAATTCAATGTAGTAGCTGGTGGTTCAGTTGGTTCACCAGTACTTTTCGTAGTGCTCAACGACACGTGGTTCAGCTGTTACACGTGCGTTGTTGTTTCGTATGTTGCCATCAATCCTGCAAATTGTATTGAATTGCTCAACTGTAGATCTGTAGGTTCAGCTGTTACTACAGTCCACAAAAAAATTGAAACTCTCAACTTCCAAGATTGCTCTGTTCACTGCCAACCTAAGTATCGGTGGAACCGCGAGGTCTTTGCTCTTCACCACTGTCTTCCGACTCCGACCAATGATGTAAATTCATCCACATCTCTGGGTCAGATACCTCGCTCAATGTACTGTGCAAATACCTTGCCACACGAGTATCTTCACTCTCCGAATCATCCTCTACTTCATCCTCTTCTTCATGACCTTCAAGTGCTTCCATGTCCCGATCTTGTCTTGAAATCGCACTTGCACTTGCACCTGTTGCTACTGCTGTTGCTGTTGTTGTTGTTGGAAACGCACTTGATGAACTGCTTCCGAAATTCCTTCCAGGCAAATTGCTCGAGGTAAAATACCCATCTCTTGCATCACTCTCTTCTATGATCCTTTCACTTCTTTCTGCTTCAGGTTCATCCAACTCTGGAACTTCTTCTCCACCTTCCGTCTCTTCATCAACTGAAAGATCCGTCATAGACCTGCAAAAATTGTGAGCTCGTCTTCTAGCTGTCTCTCCTGGTCCTCTTCCTGGTGGATGTTCAAGAATGC